TACCTGCTGTACTATCTCTCAAGTCCCACGAAAGAGAAATGTTCTAAGAATGAACAAGCCAGCTGGCGAGCTGGAGCACAGAGGTCAGTCCCTGGCACAGATGGTCCCTCAAGCACTGAATCCAGAGTAGGCTCCAAGCACGCTGTAACCCCCAAACCAAAACAAAAGACCCCATGTACTTTGAACTGGCCTGTGAATGATAATAATATGGTGGAGGTCTTCGAACTACCAGGGTACAATATATGCAATGGACAGCAAATGCCATGAAAGAGGAGGAAATAAGGAATAAGGAAATAGGAACAGGGCAACTCAATAGAGATTATGCTATTGGCCACACTTGTCATATTTTAGAACTCCTCCTACTGGGCCTGGGAACTGACTGAACTTACACATTCAAGGGCACAAGCCTTGAATGTGTAAGGCCTTGGAATTGACCATTGGCACCGTAAAACGTTAAAAAAAAAAAAAGCCTTTTCCTACACAGTTCAATCCTCACAATATAGGTTTGTCTAGTCTTGTAAGTCAAACCTCATCTACCACTATCCCTTTCAAAGTAAAAAGAATACTCAAGGAAAAAGTAACAATAGACAATGTAAGCTCCTGGTGACATCCTTCCTCTGGGACCCCTTGTCCTTTCCTCATCTCTATTATCCTCATCCAAAAGCATAATCTTTCCTAGAAACAGCAACCACCATGAAAGCAAGTGATCCCCCATACCAAAAGGTAAACTATCAAATTCCACGTGACAAGATTCCCGAAAGGTGCAAATGACTGATTTGCTTCAATGTTCTCTTTGAACATACACATTTTATCGGATAAGGAAACCTTTGGGATTTTATCTCAAAACCACTTAAAGGTATAATCAAAAGGTTTGAGTGTCAAAGCAAGCCACCTATCCATAACACATCCTGTTCACAAAAGTGTCCCAGAAACTCCATATAAACAAAATCCTTGTTTATTTCTGGGAGGTAACACTGGTCTTCTGTATCCAACAGTATGCCTTACAGACCCAAGGCAATTATGTTTTCTTCCGCAACTCAAACAGAGCATCTGTTGCTAACACAAACACTGAAGTCCAAGCTATTTTCACAGACAAAAAAGCAGCTGGTCAAGCTAGTCCATTTGCTGGCTGGCCACCGTCAAGCTTCTTTAAGACTGTCCAGTTACTAATTCAATCACAATTGTCAAATTGCTGAGTCAGATCTTACAAGCAGTTTTCAATTAGGATTTAAAAATTCTTTGGCAACACCATTTGAAATACTTCATTACAGGCATAAAGACAGAAATTTACTCTTGAAACCAAAGACAAAGGTTTAAAAATGGTTGTACTGAAATCAGAGTATAAGAATAATTAGACACTCCAAGACTCGGTGAAATTATGTTATTTACCAAAAGGAAGGAAAAGAGGGAGAAGTGGGTTAGGGATCATTGGGGACAAGAGGACATTGGAATTCTGGGGGTGGCTGTGTTGAGCAGATATAAAAAGAAGCATAAACTAGACAACTGAGATTCTATAGCATGGTAAACCAACGGTAAATCATTTTTAAGTAGATATACAAATTATCCCCAAGTTATTATGAAACTGATAACAGTCATATAAAACAGCAAAACAGGATCAAGTGTGCTAAGCATTAAGTGATTTTTAAAAAATTTTTTAAAAATTCAATGGAATTAAACGGAATCTGTTCGGCCAGAAGGAAAGATGAAGTCATGCAATTTGCTGCTAAGAGGATGGACCTGTAGAGTATCATGTTGAGTGACGTCAGTGAGAGGGAGAGGGACAGACTCAGAATGATCTCTCTCACATGTGGAACTTAAAGAAATTTCCTAGGGGACTAGCAAATGCCCAAAGGCAACAGAAATGAAGAGCAGGAACACTGGTCTTCAATAGGAAGCTTTCCACTGAGATGGGGTGAAGGGGGGATAAGTTAGGGAAGGAAACCCTAGGACAATGGGGGAAGGGAAAAGTGCCTGCCCCAGAGGCAAGGTTTGGGTGGAGAGGGAAACTGTGGGCACTGGTGAAGGGACTGGTGTTGGAAAGCGGTATGCCTAGAACTCAATCGTGAATATCTTTGTGGCTCTGTAATTCACAGTGATTAGACTAAAAATATTTTTTTGTTTGGAGGGGGGCACCACTAGCTATGCTCAGGGCTTACTCCTGGTTCTGTGCTGGTTCAGGGGTACTGGAGATGGAACCCAGGACAGCCCTGCATACAAGACTAGTGCTTTATCCTCTGTACCATCCCTCCTAGGCCTAATGATTTTTTTTTAATTATCAAGATCCTCACAATAACACTTTGAGCTAAGTTCAAATGCTATCTCTACTTTACAGATGAGGAAACAGAGACACGTGGCAAACTACCCAAGTTCACACAGCTCATAAACAGGTCACAGGTCCCAAAGCCATCCTCTTAATAATGTAAAGCCTAAATCCCATTACCTTACTAACATGTAAGTCATTTTCACCCTTAAACACTTTTCCTTGCACTCACTAAAGTACATCCCTGTTACTATTTTTATTGTTAAATTCTTTAACAGAAAATAAAAAATTATGACAGTAGACTGCTATTCAATCTTTCAAAGAGTAACATCCAGTTTAATGTATTGGTTGACATCTATCACTGTCTCTGCAGTAATTAGTGAGAAAAGGATGCTCAAACTTGGAACACTAAATAGGTTAAAGACATTAACACCAGAAACTAGATTTTAGCAATTTAACAAAGATTTTTTTGTTAGAAATATTTAGTACCATCAAAAACACTGAGCATGAATATTAATAAATTAATGTATAAAGTTATCACAGATTTGATACACTAAATGGGGGTGGAGGAAATTGATTATTTGCTAGGTCTGGGGAAGCTGGACATGGTACCTATAGATACTCAAATACTGGAATGAAATAGTAAGTTTAAGTCTTTTACTTTAAGGGTAATAGTATGACTTTGCATAAGTCTAAGTCACAAGCTCCAACTCCTGAATCCCCTTTGAAGAGATAATGCATGCCCTGACAAAAATAACTTCATTCACATTAAAATACATATATATGTGTTACACAAAAACACACACATATATACATATATAAATATATATATATATATTTTCTTGGCTACACCTGGTGATACTCAGGGGACCATTTGTAGTGTTGGGGCTTGAACCCTGACTGTCTGCACACAAAGCATGCACTCTAGTACCTTGAGCGATTCCCAACCCCTTAAGTTATATTTTACAGCACTTTATTCCTGAAAACTTTTAAAACACTTACAGATGAATTATTTTACCCAATTTTCACAATGATCCCATAAAATACTACAAAGATGAGGAAACATGAGCTAGAGCAATAGCACAGTGGGTGGGGTGTTTGCCTTGCATGCAGCCAACCTGGTCCGATTCCCAGCACCCTATATGGTCCCCCGAGCACCACCAGGAGTAATTCCTGAGTGCATGAGCCAGGAATAAGCCCTGTGCATTGCCAGGTGTGACCCAAAACAAACAAACAAACAAACAAACAAGATGAGGAAACATGTTAACCAGATAAGTGACAGTCCCATACCCCAAAGCCAGTAAATAGCACCAGAGAACCCAAGTCCTGTAGACCTCAAAGCTTTACTTTTCCTTTTGCCCTGAATAAATTTCCATTCAGCTTTCACGTGACTCCCATCTCGCATGTTAAGTAAGCAGCAAAACATTATCACAAAGTTTGTTCTGAACATCACATGCAAGTCCAAAACACACACGATCATTTTTAAACACGTTCTACTAGTAGTTATGAAAGTAAAACTTGAATACACTCAACTGGGTTTCAAGATATAGCATACCTATGATGCAATCACATGCACTTTGTTAAATATCCTAATGATCAAAGCGTAACCAGCCTTTACACTACTCTCTCGGGCCCCCTGTGCTTCCTCCCGGAGGTGAATTCAGACAAAATTAAAGATCACATTGTTCCAGTAAGTCCTTCCAGGGCTTTCTATCTAATTATAGAAAAGAATTGCTCGGTGCACATGCCCTTGTTTCTCCCTACTACATTATTAATGACACTTGTTTTTCCTTCCCGGGATGGACCTACAGTGCAATTAAACTATAATCTAACAAAGAAACAGGGTGGCTGATTTCTGTACAGGGATCATAACTGCACGTGAAGAACTCGCTTCTAATCATATTCAAAGCAGTGGCGATGTGCTCTAATTTTGTCGGGGTTTTTTCTGGCCCCCACCCAACCAACCGGCCAGCTCTCTAAAGCCTTCCTGAACTTGCTCCGTTCCTACAAAGCAAAGCATGCCAGGAAAACGCGCTAAAGTAACGGACGAGCTACCCCCTCCCGGGCCCCACCGTGGTCAGCGGGTGGGATCGCTGTCCTGCCTCACTCTGGCTTTTTTTTTTTCTATTCAACCCACTCCGAACATTCAGACCAGCTTAGCTTAGAAACGACGGAACGGTGCAGGAGGTGGGCTGCGGTGCAGGGAGAGCGGGAAGGGGGGGGGGGAAAGACATCTGGCTGGGTGGGAGCCACTAAGGTCAGCTGGTTCCCGACCTAGAGGAGCGTGCATTGTGCACAAGGCTGGGTCCACTTTCAGAGCACCGGCTGGGGCTGCAGCGGGGAGACCCCCGGTGCCTCGGGATCCCCATTCACTGGTAATCCCTCGCCAGCACTGGGAGGGGGGCTGCTGAATCAAAAGCGGGGGCGGGGGGGCCTAGAGCGCTGCTGCCTAGAAGAGATGGTCAAAACCCGGGCCCGGCTCCCTCCTCCTCCCGCTGGGGCCAGGGCCTGGGTCCAAGTGTCGGGCAGAGGCCAGCCTGGGTCACCCACCGGGCGCGGTCCCCGCAGCCGCGGGGCCAGGGCCGAGGGGGCCTCGCGCTCCGCCGCTGCAGCCCGATCCAGCCCCGGGGGGCTCCCCGCGAGCCCACCGCCGGGTCCAGCCGAGGCGCCACGCCCACCCCCATCCTGGCCCGGGCGCGCCGCACGCCCCCCACCCTCGCCCCCGGCGCCCGCAGCTCACTTTCTGGGAGTCCATGGCCCGAGGCTGAGTCCGCGGGCCGCACCCCACGCCGCGATGCCGCCGAGCTCCGAGCGCCCGAGCCCCGCTAGCCGCCGCCGCCGCAGCCCGGCCCGCACCGCACCGGCACCGCCCGCGCGCCCCGCCCAGTCCGCGCCCAGCCCGCGCCGCCGCCGTCGCCGTTGCCAGGGTGAAAGGGCGGCCCGGGAGAGGAGGGGACCCGCGGGGAGCGGCCGCGCCTGCGCACAGCCGCCCGGCTCCATCCGACTCGGGGATGGGGGGGGGAGTCGGGTACCCGGAGGGAGCAGGGCGGGGGGGGGGGGCTGCTGGACCCGCGGCCCCGGGAGGGTGCATCCCCCTCCAGCCCCACCCCCACCCCCACCCCCCATCCTGCTTCCTCCAGCGTGCAGGGTCGCTGCAGGATCTGCAGTGGGCACTCAGCTCTCGGGTGGACCCCCGGAGCTAGAGCAAGCCCCCCAGTTCTCCCCGGCGCCTCATTTCAAGTCCCTCCCTCGAACACACCGCCTAGATGTAGGCCCAGCCGGTGGAGGACAGGAAGGGGATTGGGAGGTCCTGGACGGGCACAGTGCCAGGAAGAAAGTGGGTACACTGGAACCCGCGGGAACCTTCTCATAGGCAATTGCTGCACCTTGGGGCCGGTCAAAGCCAGACCCTGAGCTGGTTTCAATGATGTGTGTACACCACGAGGGTTTGAGGAAGAACCCAGGGCATACTTCATGCCCAGGAAAGATGGTTATGAGTGGCTGTGGAGCTCGGAGCTGTGCAGACTTGAGCTTTGAGAAGGTTGGCTTGCAGAGCGATTTGGCCTCAACTTCCATTCCCCTGACTCTGGAGATGCTCAGAGGAGGTCGACTGGACTGTCAACGATGGATGAACAAAGATTATTAGTATCTAAGTGCCGGTTCCATAAGCTAAAGCTCATCAGGGACAAGGCCGGGCTCTGAGGGGCCTGGCCATGAAATAGCCCGAGATAGGGCTAGATGCTCTAATGAAAAATAAAATAACAGGAGGAAAATGGACCCAGGAAATGGTGGGGTGGGGGGAGGATGGGGGACGTCCATTTTCCACAGGAAGGCCAAAGAGGCCTCTCAGGAGTGATACGCTTGAAGCCAGAGAATGAACCATTCAAGAACTGGGAAGAACATTCTAGACCCAAAGAACAGCCATATGACGATCCTTGGGGAAAGCTGTAGCTGTGGGTTGGAGAAAAAAAATAACCATTTCTTCTGCAATGTTTTCATTATCTTTATGCACGTGCTCCCTGACTCCCCTAACTATATCCTGCTCTCCTTGAGGGCTAAGATCTCGTTTTCCCATTCCTAGCCTAGGGCCTGCCACTTAGTGCGCACTTAATTGTTGGAGGCTTGGCCTGATCAAACGCGGTCACGGACTGCTTGGCAGCACACAACAGTGTTCCCAGGGAACTGAGACTGAGACTACGTGCGAGCACGGATCTCATTGTTTGGAGGGTCTCACAATATCGCCCGCAGCCCGCATACCCCCTGAGTCTCCTGTGTAAATTGACGCAGATATTGGCTTACACATTAGTCTTAGGAGCTGTTTTCAGTTTTGCTGTTTTTCTATTCCTGCACATAGCCCCTTCCCCTTAGCATGTAACCACCTTTGTCCTTGCTCAATAGATGTTCGTCTGACCGAGGAGCAATGGCTCATTCCCCAAACAGTGCTGCTCTCCAGCCTCCCAATTTGTTGAAATTAATGTGTGCTGCGTCTGATTGAGCCGCAGCACTTAACACGTCTTTTATGTTTGGTTTTTTGGGCATCATCCAGCAGTGCTCAGGGCTTCTCACTCTGTACTCAGGGATCACTCCTGGCAGGAATCTGGAGACTATTCAGAGTGCTCGGGATTGAACCTGGGCCAGTTGCATGGATGGCACCCCTTTAGCCCCCTATACACTCTCTCTGATCCCAGAACATGAAATTGAAGGTAATGCTTGAAGACCAGGATCCAAGAAGACCTACGCGTATAATCTTGTTTGGGAAAACTGAAAGGAATAATAGTTTGCTGTCCTACCCAGAGATGTCCTCATCTCTTGAGATCAAAGGAAGGGAGACTCCAATCCAAGTTGCCCTAGTTCCAAAAGGAGTAGTGGAAGCTGCCAGACACCCGGCCATAAGAGCACTGTGACCAGGAGCACTCTGCAAAGGCCATAACACACACTACTGCTGAGTCAGCGTCCCTGAGGTGCCCTGCTTTGATGACCAGAGGTCAAAGTACCCGTTTCCCGGCCCTGCCCCTGTGGGTCCCACCTCTAAGAGGAAATAACCACAAAGCACTGCCCCCAACCCTGGGGCAGCAAGAACTGCACCTCACCACTTGCCAAAGGCGACTCCTAGACAGGGAGGCCTGTGGACATAACCGTGGCAGGAGAGTGGGAAGGGCTTTTGCAGACAGTGAGCTGACGCTGAAATGTGATCGCTGGGCTCCATCACAGGGCCACGTTCCCAGGAGCTCACTCCTGGCTCCTTGCCTCCTCACCCCCATACTTCTCTCCCTGTGGCCCAGCCAGGAGCCTGTGGTTTTTGACAAGAGCTCTGCCCCATTCGACCTTCACCATATCCCTGTCTCTTTGGGCGCCTCTGCCATCTAACCAGAGTCTGCTGCTTGCTCTTATTCCCACCCAGGAGTGGCTCAGCTCCCCTGGCTGTGACTTCCCCAGCCCAAATAGGCACTCCCACCTCATCCTGCAGCATAGCGACAGAGTCTGCACCCCCCAACCCAGGCCCCGGTGCTGCTGGCCTATGGGCGAGTTCTCAGACTTTTCTGTACTTACTTTTCTCACAGTCACATCCATTGAGAAATATTCAAAAATCATCAACTAATCTATTAAAGCCATTTTTCTTCAACATAATCTTTTTTTTTTTAATTTTTGGGTCACACCCGATGATGCACAGGGGTTACTCTTGTCTCAAGCACTCAGAAACTACTCCTGGTGGTGCTCAGGGGACCACATGGTATGCTGGGAATCGAACTCAGGTTGCCGCGTACAAGGCAAATGCCCTACCTGCTGTGCTATCACTCCAGGCCCCTCCATCATAATCTTGCACTGCCTCCATCAGCATTTCCTGCTAGCCTGTTAGAAGTACAAATTCCAGGCCTTATCCCCTACGAAATCGGAAACTCTGGGAATGGGATCGAATAGTCTGAACTTTAAAAAGCCCTCCAGATGTTTCAGCTACCCACTAAAACTTGAGATACATTGAACAAAGAGAAAACAAGTTGCTGAAGAAGTAAAGGCTGGGTGTGGGGGGATGGGGGTGGGGGTGGGGGAGAGACAAGGGAGAAGTGGAAGGAATCCCAAAGCAAATATCTGATCTCTTGGGTTAATTCTGAGAGCTTTTCTATTCATCTATATTTATTTGATTGGGGTTCTAGGGCCTGCAGGACTAACTACCCTTCTGAGGAAGCTTCAAGTGAAGCTAGTCTCGGAATTGACTTCTGATACAAGAAATCTGGTGAAATCTAGGACCACGTGGTCCATTCTCTTGTACAAAGCTCTGCTGCAGTCTTGACATCCTCATAAATTCTGGCACCCCGCCTTTTGAAAGAGAATGGTACTTCCCTTGAGTGTCACTGATATTCACCCCCACTTATGTGTCAGAATAGCACCAGGAGCATGATATCACCCGCCTGAATTTAAAACCCAACACCGCTTACCAACTATGCAGCCTTCAGTGAGTCATTTAACCCCAAAAAGCCTCGATTTCCTCATCTGTCACATAGCACTCATAATAAGAGTAATTCCCAGTTAGTGGGGGTTGTGAGGATTAAGGAGATTAAGTATGCAAAATGCCTGGTTTAGCACACTTTTTTTTTTTTTTTTTTTTTTTTGCTTTTTGGGTCACACCCGGCGATGCTCAGGGGCTACTCCTGGCTCATGCACTCAGGAATTGCTCCTGGCGGTGCTCGGGGGACCATATGGGGTGCTGGGAATCGAACCTGTGTCGGCCATGTTGGCTGCGTGCAAGGCAAACGCCCTACCCGCTGTGCTATTGCTCCAGCCCCTAGCACACTTTTAACAAAGGATAGCTGGCTATTATTACACCCCTTGCATATTCTATCTTTCTGTGCCATTTTTCTGGACTTTCTCCCTCTTGGTCTTTGGGACCTTAGAAGCTCTTAGAAAAAAGTGTTTAAAGAGCTAGTGCACATGCTTTGATGCAGGAGGCTTGCTGGGTCCAATCCCTGCTACCACATGGTCCTCCAGTACTCTCGGGAGCAACCCCTAAGCCCATTTTGAAGTGGCCCAAAAGTCGAGAGGGAGAGATTAGTTGAGAAATTGCATTCTCAGCCTTCATTTCTCTCTTCCCTTTCACCTGTCCTTTCTGTAGCATAATCACTAGCCAGGTGCTGCTCTTTCTTGAAGTTCAAGAATCTTCACCCTTTTCTCCCACTCAATCACGGTCACGGTCCTCCCGTTGTTCATTGATTTGCTCGAATGGACCCAGTAATGTCTCCATCATGAGACTTGTTGTTACTGTGTTTGGCATATCGAATACGTCACGGGTAGCTTGTCAGGCTCTGCCGTGAGGGCGAGATACTCTCGGTAGCTTGCCGGACTCTCCAAGAGGGGTGGAGGAATCGAACTCAGTTCGGCCATTTTGGCTGCTTGTAAGGCAAATGCCCGACTGCTGTGCTACCGCTCCAGCCCCACTCCCAGTCAATACCTGACATGAATCTTAATAGATGCTACCTAGCCTTGGAAAACCCCAACTTTTGCTAAGCCTTCATTCTTCCTCATTTTTCTTCTTCCTTTATTCTTTTAAATAGGAGCTACACCTAGCACACTCCACTTGACCAAAGATATGGAACATCTAACAAGAGGGTTCTAGCGCTCTGGTTGGTGCTTATAGGGGTGGGTGCTCAGGGTCTAGCACTGTGAAGGATCACCAGGGAAACAACCAGCAGTGCTCAAGGGTCCATGGAGTGGCAGGAAGGGAACCCAGGCCACATGCCAGGCAGGTGCCCTACCTTTTGGGCTATATTCCCAGCACTCTATGCTGTGAAATAGGGATCACAATACTGAGCTTAGAATATTCATGTAAAACATTTCTTCTTGTGTCTGGCACATAACAAGCATTT